GACCGTGTCCTTCTTGCCGTCCCCCAAATGCCCAAAACACTTCTCTACACCAAGCCCTTTGCACATGCTGTTCCTTCTGCCTGGACAACCCCTCTTCCCTCTCCCGGCCTCCTCCGCTCCTGGGATCCTCAGGCCTACAGGTCCTGTCTTCTGGGACGCCCTCCTGGGCCCCTTGACCTGGGACGCCCTCCTGGGCCCCTTGACCGTCCAATGCATGCACTCCCCTCTGCCTGTCTCCGGAGACCCTGTCTTTCTCCCCGTGCATGCTAACCTTGATTTCCGATCGCGAGGTCACTGGCAGACTCCCGCCTCCGGTGGGCACCCGTGTGGAAGCTCCGTGAGGGCAAGAACCACGTTTATGGGTCCCTTGGCTCCACCCAGCGTCTGCTCCGATGCCTGACTCACGACCGGCCCTAAATAAATCTCAGCTCCGTGAAGCCATGGCTGATGCCAAGGCTGCCCACAGGCCTGGCGGAGCCAGCCAGGAGCCCAGACTCCTGTCACCCCATCTCCCGTGCGCCCGCGACCTTGGGCGTCTCGGTGTCACCTCCCAGATGCTCTGTGCAGGCGGCTTGTGCAGGGAAAAGCATCCCATGGCCCGACTCAAATCCTAGCACGACCGGCGCCTCCTCTGGGCGAGGGGCTTCTCTGCTACAGTGATGGCACCTTCATGTACGATTTCCCCGTCGTTGCCTGTCAGGGTGGGCGTGCGGATTGAGCGAGGGAGGTGTGTGTGTTGGGGGGTGGGGGGGCTGCGTGCGGACAGACCAGGGGAAAATGCTGGTGGGAGTGAGGAGTGTGTTGAGCCCAGTGCTTGGATGGGGAGGTGGCAGCCTTCCTGACTAAAAGCATTCACCCGGGAAGCGGACGGAGCTGTCCATTACAAGCCTTCTAACCTTGAACCCATGACCTCGGATCCCCAAGCCTCAGTGTTCCCATCAGTAAAATGGGGATAACAAAAGGAACCCCCCCTCTAAGGGCTCTGGTTCAGAGTGAGAGCTGGATAAGCAGGCGCCGTCCCCACCGCCCATCCATCGCTGAGGGCCGGTGCCCGGCAGGGCCGCTGGGTTTGGCACAGGCTATTGCTCACCGGGTGCCGGGGGCTTAGGGGGAGGACCGGCAGGAAAGGCCCTCCGGTTCTGTGGGGTAGAGAGAAGAAAAGAGGTGATTCTAATCTCTTCTCCCTTTGAGACGGCGAAGGCGGGCGGGGGAGGGGGGCAGAGACAGGCAGGGGCAGGGCCTGGGAGCAAATGACTCAAGATTGAGTGGCTAATGTGGCTGGTTCCCAGGGGGCATGAGGGCCACTTGTGGACGGGTCCCTGCCCGGGAGCCGTGGCATGGACACGCCCTCTTCCCCGGGGCCTCTGGGCGTCCCCATTGGGTCCGGAAACCTAGACGTGCTTCCCTCACCCCTTCCTCGGACATTTATTTTATTTAGCATTTTTAATTATTGATTTTAGAGAGAGGAAGGGAGAGAGAGAGAGAGAGAGAGAGAGAGAAGGGTTTGTTGCTCCACTTACTGAAGCATTCATTGGTTGACTGTTGCATGTGCCCTGACCGGGGATCGAACCCACAATCTTGGTGTATCTGGACGAGGACGCTCTAACCAGACGAGCTCCGGGCCAGGGCCTGGGGCTGCTCCCCGTCCTGGGGGCGGGAACCCTGGGAAGGTTGCGCATCGTTGCGCTGGGGCAGGGACTCCATGGACACGAAGAAACGTTTCCATTTCCTGCTCCCCGCCCAGTGCTCAGCATCGGGGAAGGAGGCTTCTGGGAAGGCCAGGTCAAAGGTCGCGTCGGCTGGTTCCCCTCCGACTGCCTGGAAGAGGTGGCCAACCGCTCCCAGGAGGGAAAGCAAGGTATGGGGGAGCCCGGGCTGCCTCTGATGTACCCCAGGGTGCTTGCTCAGCCCACCCCTCCCCTCCCCAACGGGAGGGTGCTGGGGGGGAGGGGGAAGGCTCGTGCCAGGAGGGCTGGGGGCGGGCTTGTGGTTTCGAGGATGAGAGCCAAGGCCACCCCTGTCCCCCTGCAGAGAGCCGCAGTGACAAAGCCAAGAGGCTGTTCCGGCATTATACCGTGGGCTCCTACGACAGCTTTGATGCCCCCAGGTAAATGTCCTTCACCCTCGGTGCCCCCTGCCTCCCTGCACCCTCCGCCTTTAAGATATTCCCACGACCCCCAAGCCCCCTTTCTCATCTGCTCCCTCACAAGTTTGATCCAGGGGTGGGGCAAGGCCGAGTTAGCTTCTGACCACACAGCCCGGTCCCCCAACCTGCCGTGCTTGGCAGCCACTGAGACTGCTCAGCCCCGGGGTGGCCAACCACCAATGGGGTGGACACGGCGGGGTGGGGGTGTTGCCTGGGGGCCCTGGGTCTGTGTGTCTGGCTGGCTGAGGCCCCCCATGTGCCCTTTATGTGCCCCATCTCTTTGCGGTCATGTGCAGTGGAAATCTGTGCATCCCATGCCTCGCTCTGGGTGTGGGCGGAGCCGGACCAGGCGGTGGGGGCGGGGAGGGGGCACACTGACACCTCTCCCCTCCCTGGCTGCTGGCTGACTTGCTTCTGAAGCTTG